TTTTTTTTTTTTTTGTTTTTTTCCTAGAGTTAGCTGTAGATGATTCCAATAGGTCCTGGAATGCCTCAATATCTTCCTACAATGGAAACTAGGGACCAAATTTCTTAAGATACTGGGTATCTCTTCTACTTTAATCTCTCTCAGGTTAGAAGGCCTCCTGACTCAAAGCCCTCTTGATTTTCTAGTTCATTGCCATTGACCAGAAGACTATGTTTGTTTTAATCAAGATTTGAAAGGGAAGCAAGTTGGAACCCTCTTGGGAAAGACCCTACCTGTCTTGCTTACCACAGAGACTGCTTTTGGGACTGCAGAGTGAGGTTGGACCCATCACACACGGGTTAAGGGCGGACACACCTCAACTTGAACAGCCATACCAGGACATATCCCCTTGAAATTTATGCTAAAAACTGTGAGCTGTCTTAATAACCATCATGTACTGAGTTCTATTTGCTTTAGGGATCTGGCAAATTGCAGGGGCTTACAATGTGGGCTGGGGAAATGTGTCCAATGTGGATCATGCATACACATTTAAGTTATTGATTATAGATAACTTAAATGATTTGTTATCATTTCAGCCTTTAGGCCAAAAGGTTGGCTAGGACTAGATTTAGGAATAGATGTCACAGGACAAGATCCCCTAGACCACTGCCACCACCATGCAAATAGAAGTAGGATATAAGGGAACAAATGCCTGGGTGGAATGGATTAAATATTCTGTACAGGCCCTAAATAAAAGTGACTGTTACGCTTGTGCAGCAGGAAGGCTAGAGGCCCAAGTGGTCCCATTTCCATTTGGATGGACCTCAGACTGTAATGGGATGGAATATGTGTTTGCCTTGTACCAGGAGGAAACTGCCTGGGGAAACGCTTCCTGTAAGACTCTTCCCTGTTGTTCTCATACAACAGAGGTAAAGAGCAAGGTCCACCCCCGCACCCCCCCAAACAATCCGGCCCGTCCTGAGACATAAACTATACCTCCTGCCTCTCAAGGGGGGAAACAGTGCTCAGAGTTTATGAGAAATTTATGCAGATGCGTAAATGGCCAAATATTCTTAGAAGCCAATCATGCTGCACTGTCGATACCCCGTGCTGATGCCTGGTGCTGTTATGGGGGACCCTGACTTGTGGCCTTGCTCAGCAAATGGAGTGGAACTTGTGCTCTGATATAATTGGCTATCCCTTGCACTTTGGCATATCATAAACCTTTTTCAATGGACAAACTAGGAAGAGGAGAGAGAGTCCAGGGGGCTCCATTGATCCCCATATGTACAAAAATCTCATTGGGTTCCAGGAGGAGTGCCAAAGGAGTTTAAAGCTAGAAATCATATTGCCGCTGGATTTGAATCTGTCCCATCTGGTGGCCCACTGTAAACAAGTTTGTGGTTGGAGTAATTATATTTACTACTACAGGCCCCGTGCACGAATTCGCATTCCCTCATCAGCTCCTTTTGATCCAAACAGTATGTGGGGCAACATCCAACCCTTCCCCAGCTTCCTGAAAACCCTCAGTGGGGTGGGCAACCACCCTGCCGCCCGCTTTCCACCTCCTTCCTTCTCTGCTCAGGCCCCTCCCCTCTTCTCCAGCCCTACAACTTCCGTTTGTCCGGTCGCCTGGGAAACCGCTTACTTCCGGTCGCGCAGCTGTGGGCCGGGCGAGATGGCTGAGGAGAGACAGCCCACGGTGAGCACAGATTCTGTTTTGTGTCCGGGCCGCCAGGCGGGACTGGATGGGGCCGGGCCCTGCGGGGCCGGGGGAGCCCAGCATTATCTGTTTTGCATGAATATTGTGAGGATCAAGGAAAACAGGAAATCAAAGCCTAGTTATAAATAAGCATACTGATACTAACTTGGGCAAAAAATAAGGAGACAGATCTGTCTCATAGACCCTCAAAGGCAGGATGACATTGGATCCACGAACTAGAAAGTTGTTTTGCCTATTTTTTAAAAAATTTATTTCAGATATCTCCCTTTTTCCCCCATTGATCCCCTCCATCTCACCCCACCCCCAGGCCTTCACCACACTATTGGCTGTGTCCTTGGGTTATGCATACATGCTTAGAAAGCCACTTTGAACTCCTGAATTGGCATTGTCATTGGTACATCCACATCATTCTAACACCTTTGCTTTCCCTGTAGCTACCCCATAACTCCAGGTGTTTCATGTTAACTGTTCCGGACACATGTAGACAGAACCAAGCAAGCCTTGGGACCAGCTCGTTGGTAGAAATGTGGGTCTTTGGGGCTAAACCCTGTGGTTTGGGCGGTAGATCTTGGAGATAATGGTTTGCTGGCTGCACATCACAAAAGGTGCCTTTTTAAAAATACGTCTTTGTTGATTTCAGAGAGGAAGAGAGAGAAACATCAATGATGAGAGAGACTGGGGATTGAGCCCACAACCCGGGCATGTGCCCTGACCGGGAATGAAAATGTAACCTCCTGGTTCATAGGTCGACATGCAACCACTGAGCTACACAGGCCAGGCGACAAAAGGTGTCTGACAAAAGCAAAATGCCCTGAAATGAAATAAATGTAAGGAATACCATATAGTAGATAATTATGAACTTATTCTTACTAAATGCTTCATGTATATTTTTAAAAACTCACAATCCCATGAAATAAATACCATCTCCATTTTATAAATAAGAAAATAGAAGCTTAAAGAAGGTGAGTAATTTCCCTGAGGTCATTTTGTGTCAGAATGAAGATTCAGTCAACACCCACGCTGTCAGGCACTATCCTAAACGCTAGAGGTACAGCAGTGAAAAAAGGGCCTGTTGGTTTGTCTGAAGCTCTTGTTTTCTACACCAAGACTAGGATTGCCCAAGGTCACCCAGCCAGTTAATGGCAGAACTGGAAGCACATTTGGACCACTATGCTGTATTCTTTTCATGACATTGTAGCTGCTGATTCTCAAACAGCCTTTCCAACAGCATCTGCTAAAATTACATAGATAGGTTAGGGGGAACTTACAGCCTTTTATTGCCTTGGAGACTCACCAAGGTTCTCCTGTTAAAAACATGTTATTGCCAAAACCGGTTTGGCTCAGTGGATAGAGCATCGGCCTGCGGACTGAAAGGTCCCAGGTTCGATTCCGGTCAAGGGCATGTACCTGGGTTGTGGGCACATCCCCAGTAGGAGATGTGCAGGAGGCAGCTGATCGATGTCTCTCTCTCATCGATGTTTCTAACTATCTCTCTCCCTTCCTCTCTGTAAAAAATCAATAAAATATATTTTAAAAAAAAACATGTTATTAACCTCAGATACTGTACCTGCCTTTTCCTTCACATTTGAGAACCACCCTAGCATTTTAATGACAGTTAAGAAACAAGTCCATATTTCCAAACCATCTTCAGCAGGCCAATCTTTCCTATTTTGAGCTAATGATTGGCTTCATATTGTGCACAAAATAATAGTTCCTGACTTGGTCTTATTTGGCACCTGTATGTCCCTCCTCACTGACTACACGTGTAAAAGTTTGGTCTTTTTAAGCTGCATGCCTTTTGCCATGGAGTACTTGGGGTGGAAATTTGGAAGGTGATTATAGACTATAAAACCAATTCTCTATAGTAGACAGATTTCCTTCTGATGGCTAAAATTGGTTTCTGTATGCATAACAACAAAGCAGTGTCCTAGAAGCCACTTCGGTGCACATTAAATGGCTGTTTGTTAGAATTGAGAGTTTGGGGCTTGTGCAGTGAGGATCTGGCTCTCCGGGATCAATTGGCCAAGTTAGGATTCCTGAGGAGTGAACAAACAGCATGATTCCATCCTAAGTTTTCTGAGGACCCTATCCAAAACCACTAGTATTGATGGCATTTCCCAGCTTCCTCTTACAGGGAGACTCCCTGTATGTATTTCCACCTCTGCAGGTCACATCATTTTCTCAGAGGGAGTGCAGCATAAAATGATAACCAGCATTTGTGAAGCACCTCTGTGTTCTCACCTAGGTAGTAGACATTCCAATGGAATGTTCTAAAATTGTAAGTTCTTGCACCTGCTCTCAAGTCATTTATAACCTAACTAGAGGCCCAATGCATGAAATTCGTGCAAGGGTAGGCCCTGGCAGCCCCAGCTTCATCCAGAAGGTCATCCAGATGGTCGCTCTGCTGTTTGGTCTAATTAGCGTATTAGCTCTTTATTAGATAGGATTGCTGGTCTTCTGGTATGAACAAAATGATTTGCTTGTATAAATTCCTACCATATGATCCTGACTTGTGCAATATAACTAGGGCAAATATTAAAGTGTTTCCTAACAAAGGAGGAGGTATGATCTGAGTGTCCACCAACTTTGGAAAAGATGCCCGCTTTCAATAGGAAATGATTTTTGTGTTCAAAAATCCTGTGACTGGTTTGGAGCATTGTAAATGTCATGGCAGCAAATACCAGAGGATGGGTTAAATGAAGAATGATAGTGTCCTACATGCCTTTGAAGAATTAATTTTCACTCCATTATTTTGACTAGCTTGCAGGTTAAGTACCATTCAATCTATTAATGTTCAATCCAACCTAGTACAAGTCAGTGCCTTAACATAATGGTCAAATTTGTTGCTCACTAACCAATGGAAATAAAATTGCTTCACAGATTTCTAAATGCTGTTTCAACGGGATGCTGGATTGTGTGCTTTTTTAAGATAAATTTCAGAATCAAGGTCCTAGCCCTGAACAGATTAGAGCCCAACCAAGATCACACTGAGAACAGATCAGTAAGGGGTTGGGGAAATATGCTCCTGAAATAGAAATCCTCCACTCATCTTTATTTTAATATATAGAAATCAATACATATATTGTGAAATGCACACATCCTAAGTGTTCAGTTTGACATTTTGATAACTGTACAAACCTTGTGATAACCACCCAAAAGAAGATATAGAACATTCCCATTAATCTAGAAAGTTCTCTTGTGTATCTTTCAAATTATTCCTGCTCCCCTCCCTACTCCAATGATCATTTGCTGATTATCACTAAAAATTTATTTTGTCTGATTTTGGACTTCATATAAATGGAGTCATATAATATGTAGTCTTGCATCTGTCGTCTTTCACATAATACTTTAAAAACAACCATGTTGTCTCTATTGGTAAATTATTATTTATTGCTGAGTAGCAGTTCATTTTATAAATATACCACAATTTGTTTATCCGTTCCCATATTGATGGACTTTTAGGTTTCCAGTTTGGGGCAATTATGAATAAGACTACTATATAAATTCTCATAAGATTTTGTTTTTGTTTTATGGATACATGTTTTTATTTCTCTTGGATACCTGAGTATAAAATTGCTGAGTCATATGGTAAGTGTACACATAACACTTTAAGCAACTGCAATCCTGTTCTTCAAAGTGGTTTTACCATTTCATACTCCCAACAATGAAGTACGAGAGTTCTAGTTGCTCCATGTCTTTTTCAACGTTTACTATTGTCAGTGCCTTTTATATTAGCCATTTTTGTGGGTATGAAATAACTGATTTTAATTTACATTTCCCTGATGATTAATGATGATCACTTTTCATATGCTTATTTTACATTTGTATGTCTTTCATGAAGTGTCTTTCACGTCTTTTCCCATTTTAAAATTGGATTGTCTTTTCCATTGTGGCTATTATTCTGTGAATTCTGGGTACTAGAGGTTTTGTTTGTTTATCTATAATCCTCTGTTCCCCAAGGTTACATCTGCTCTTTATCTTTGGTTTTCAGCTGATTGACTATGATATGTATAGGTATATTTTCCTTTGTGTGAAGTTTACTAAATCTTTTGGATCTATATTGATGTCTTTCATTAATACTGGATATTTCCTGGCCATTATCTCTTCAAATATCTTTGTTCCATACTCTGTCACCTCTCCTTTTGGGACTCCAATTGCACATATATTAGATGATTTTATATTATCCTACAGACCTCAGATGATTTTCTTCCATTCTTTTCTCTTTTTTGTTTTCAATTTGGATACTTTCCATTTAGCAGTGCTCAAGTTCCCTGATACTTTTCTGTTAAACCTATCTAATGAATTATTTTTGATATTGTATTTTTAATTTCTAGCATTTCATTGCATTTGTATAGTTATCATATTTCTGCTAAGATTTTCCATTTCTTCATGCATATTGTCCACATTTTCCACAAGGTTTTTTTTTTTAATATATATTTTATTGATTTTTTACAGAGAGGAAGGGAGAGAGAGAGCTAGAAACATCGATGAGAGAGAAACATCGATCAGCTGCCTCCCGCACATCTCCCACTGGGGATGTGCCCGCAACCCAGGCACACGCCCTTGACCGGAATCGAACCCGGGACCCCTCAGTCCGCAGGCCGACGCTCTATCCACCGAGCCAAACCGGTTTCGGCTCCACAAGGTTTTTTTTAGCATTTTAGTCAAAGTTATTTTAACAATTCCAACTGATAATTTAGTCAACACCTGGGTCATCTCTAGTTCTGCTTATATTATTCTAGGAAGGGAGAGAGAGAGAGAGAGAGGAGAGAGAGAAACATCAATGATGAGAGAGAATCATTGATTGGCTGCCTCCTGCATACCGACACTGGGGATAGAGCCTGCAATCCGGAATAGAACAATGACTCCCAGGTAGGTTGAACCCAACCACGCTGGCTGGGCTTACTTACCTTTAAAATAAGGCATGTCCATTTTTCTTTCAGATACTTTAGTAGCTCAGTCAATTTGTATAATTGACC